TGCCCTTTTTTAAAATTTTATTTTGGAATAGCAGAAATCTTTAATTAAATCCAAAAATTCTAAAATGAAAATGAAACCTGTTGAAGAAAAAAACTAAATACATGAAAAAAATTATTCTTCAAAGATATGTACAGTTATTATGTAAATTACCCAGTTGTTCATGATTTCAGCCTTCACTAGAAATTCCTGTTTTTATTTCCTCATATGATAGAGTTACTGAGCCAGCTTAAATTAAAATTAAATTGTATAATCTTTGACCACTAAAAGTTTAAATTTGACTGTTCTTGTTTAATAACGTCACTGTGAGCTGTAATTGATTTTGTTAGCATCAGAACATGTCTTTATGTTCTAATTTCTTTTTAAATAAGAGGCTTATTTAAACCTTTGTCTGATATTATAATTACTTTCAGACATAGCAATAATTTGCTTCACGTCTGTCAAGGGGTTTGGAACTATTTAACTTTTACCAGATCAAGTAAACCCTCATAGGTATATTGTGGAGAGGTTGACAAGTTAGCAGATAAAGCATGCAGAAACTAGTCAGAGCATTGGTTTGCATATTGAGACAAATTTCTGATTGTTAGAAAAGATGATTAAAGAGAAGGAAATCGATAAAAATTTGCCAAAATGTCTGGGAAAGGCCTTCAAATTAAAATGACGCATAAATATTTTGTTGAGTGTTGTTGTTATAAGACATAAATGTTTTGTAACAACAACACTTTCAAAACTCGCTAACTGTGCCTACAACAGGCCTTTCAGGTTTGTTCTAATCAGCAGGTCTCTCTCTAGACAAGCAACAGCGGTGACAACATTCAGTCTTTTGTTATGAATCATGCTGATTATGATCTTACTTCTCATTTGAACCTATGATGCTTTACATAAAACCTACCTGCTATTTACTAAACCTCTAGATTGAACAAGTATGTGACAAAATGAGACATAAAAATATCAACATAAATCTAACTGTTAGTAAAATATAAATGTCACTTATCTTCTTTCAAAATGTCCAACTATTATAAGTGTAAAATATTTAATGCTACTTGTAAATTGCATAAAGTTTATTTTATTCTCAAACTTTAATTAATTTCAAACTTTCCATGGTTATTAATTCATGTTTAATAATATTGTGTCATACTTAGGGATCTATTTTATTTTTAGAATGGTATTACAAAAGTGAAATTCAGGCATAGATAATATTTTTAATTGAATTTATTCAGTTCTCATTTGCTCATAGGTCCTTAATTTTTTCATTAATGGTCCTTAATTTCCATGTGTCGAAATGTGTACGAACCCTGACAAATATTGCCTGAGCAGACAGTTTGCATTGGCATGTTTAATCATATTTTGTCAAACAATTTTTGGCATTTGAAAGAAAGAGATTTGCTTTAGAATACTGTGTTGTGAAATTTGTAAAAAAATATCATTATCATTAAGTGCAAAGTATCTGAAGTGGAACTATCACAATACTAGATTAGAACCATAATTTTTTTCCAATTCTGTTGTAAAAAGTCAGCTACGGAATGTCACCAAATCATGTGTATAGCTTTAGGTACTAATGTTGTATCATATGACACTGTGAAGGTTTAATACTGGAAGTTCAAAAACAAGGACTATGAAATTCAAGAAGCAGAGTGCCCTTGCTGGTCTACTGATGTTGATGAAGCACACGTGTGAGAACTTGTGGGAGAAGATTTTGTATGCAACCAGTAGAGAGCTTGCTAAGGAGTTAGATGTTAGTGCTGTGTCCATTAGTTGCACTATGCATCACATAAACTTGATGTACAAGTTCAGTCTCTGGGTGCTCCATGAACTGACTCAAGCAGATAAGGACAGATGTGTTTGGGCCTGCACTAATCAGCTCGAATATCAACGCAGTGACAACATTTTGGACATCATCACTTGTCATGAAAAGTGGATTTAATTCAACAACACAGGCCAAAAAGGAGGTTGGTCTGCGTACGGTGAGTCCATCGGCACCGTCGCAAAGCACAGTTTGACTAACAATAAGATTATACTTTGTATCTGGTGGGATTGCTGTGGTATTATCCTCAAACAGTATCTGAAAAAAGTTAAAATCATTGACAGTAAGATGTACAGTGAGATGCTACTCCGAGTTGATGCTGCTACCAAGGGAAAATGTTGAACTGAGTTCCAGTGCAAAAAGGTAATATTTCGTCAAGATAATGCAAGACCACGTGTGTTTGTATTCATTGGCAGGATTCTGTAGGGAGTCAACTGAGGTATAGTAAAACTTCTCATGATTTGCCACACCGACCATGGCTCCTTCAGACTTTGTTTTTCCACACCTGCAGTTACATCTTGCTGGTGTTATTTTCGATTCTGCACAGGTTGATCTGTTCTTGGATTATGGCCACCAAGTTTCTGGGCAGAAGACTTTGAAAAACTACCAAAACGTTGGTCTAAAATCTTAGATTTGAGTGGTAATTACTACCTGCACTTTGGTACGGCTTTCATGTTTTTCCCCCTAACTTTATTAAAAACACTTTTTTCGCAGAAAACTTTTGTTATAACCAGATACATAGATTTAAAGTAACAAGAAGATAAATTAGGAATTTTTTAATTCTTCTTTTTGAATTGATATTTTGTATCTAATTGAACTCTTTATTAAAAATTTAATAATTGTAGGTCTAAATTCAAGTAAAATTTTATAAAACACTTTGCTTAGCCACATTCCTTCCCTTTTTATATTATATTTCTCATTGTTTAGATTTTCATGTCACAGCATATCTCTTGTTTGAAGTTGAATGCTAAATATATACTTAATGTATTTGAAAATTTTTTTGAAGGATTTTGATGCTTCAAAAGAACTACTGTATTTGACGGCATATAAGACACACTATTTTTTCCTGAATTTGGTCTCAAAAAAGTTATCTGCGTCTTATACATGAAGGGCACAGGTTAACTTTCAATACTGAATGCTATTTTTAGCCCGGATAAAGGTCTAGACACACATAACTTTATCTACATCTGCCATAATTATTTTGCGCATGCGAAATATCTGTCGCCAAAAAGCGTCAAAGCTCAAAGCTGATGTCGAAGTTCGAACAGGTTCGACGGTCACATTACGTCTATGGAGCCTTTCCTTCTTTACATAGACTTTCTTTGACTCAGCCGACACACGTGTCGGTATCGGTGCTACTCTGTATAAACGTGTGGGTATCGGTGCTTAAAACTATTTGTTTAAAAAAAAATACCCTGGAAAATATGACTACAGGAAACAAGAAATTAAGCTAGTTAGGCCAAACGATTTGCAGAAAAATGTGGGAATCAGAACTTTTCAGGGTCTGAGGGCTGGTGCTATAGGTTAATGAAAAGGCAAGGCTTATCAATGCGCACAAAAACAACTATTGCACAGAAAATGTCAGCAGATTATGAAGAAAAAATACTAGCATTTCATAGGTTTGTTATAAATGCTCACAAGAAAACTTCTTTTGAGCTCGGTCAAATAGGAAATATGGATGAAAGAGAAAGAAACCACATTTTAAGTTAGTTGTGGTACCATGCTGTTGCGTGGACTATTGAACCTTTTTTTTCCTTGTGTGTGGCCTTCTAAATAAGGGTGCGTCTTATATGCTGTCAAATACGGTAATTATAATAAAAATATTTTAAATGCCTACTTTGTTAGCTCTTTCTCTAAACTATCAATCTACATCTTGATTTTAGTGACGTAATTTTACTATAGGAATTTTTTTATGTACCTGTTATGTACTCTAGTCTGGTTATTTTTAGTTGACATGTAGAAACTGGCCTTATCTAACAGCTCAAAAAGCTTGCTAATCCACTGTTGTCATAATAGGAAATTTTTTGCAATATTTGAAAAATACTTTATGCTATCTCTTACCGTTCTTTTAGAATTTTTTTTTATTAAATGTTACCCAGTAGAATTCAACTTCTTTTATATTGTATGGACTTTTTAAATTTAGAAATCCAAAAATTGTTTTTAACAATGCATAGAATTTATTTTTCATTTCTTTTTAATCTTATTTTTCTATAACATGGAAAACCAATAATGGTCATAAACGTTTTACCAAAACTTTTTAGACTTTTGAAACCAAGATTTTAATTTTCCTCTCCACTTTTATAATATTGGAGATGAGATATGTGTCAGATTTAATGTAGTATTCCTCCTTAAAACAAAGAGTCTTTGCTAATGTGATGGCTTTTTAAACAAAAAATAGTTGTAGTTTCCATGGCTCATGCTCAACATGGCTTTTTCTTTTCTTCTTAAAATTTCTGGTTACTTCTTTCTTCAGAAGGAAACAATTAATTGCAGTTTTATGCAAAATAATTATTTTATTTACCGTAAAACTGATGACATTTTTTTTTTATTGAATAGGTGGATCATCGGTTTAGGACCATGAAATTATTTTTTAAAATGTTCTTTGAAGTATACACCTTTTTTAATATTAACATTCTGATACTGTAAAAAATAATTAATTTTTCATTTGTAATAAATCATATTGTTATGGCCTTAGTTATCTTGATTCCAATATTTTTATGTAGATTTTATTAGGAAAAACTGGAATATTTTTTTTTTTCCTTCGGAAATAGAAGAAAACATCTTTCTATCTGAAATGTATTTAAATGAACCATTTGAACATATGAAAACTTCCGCTGTAACAAACAATTTATTGATCAGTACAATAGCTGCTGCAAGTTATTTCTTATGTTTCATTAATTTCAGTGGTTTGCTTGATCAAAACTATTTAAAAAATCTGCAGACAGTTTTTATATTTTTTAACGTAAAATGGCAGGATGCTTATTGCTGTGTATTATAGAATAGGTTCATATTTTTGCACTCACTTGCAATTCTTAATTTACAATAGGCTAGATAGTTTTTTACATGATATCTTAATTCTATAAAGTTTTTATTTATTTATTTATTTATTACATTTAAAGCTGTGAACTTTATTAAAAATTATAAATTTACATGAAATATGATTTAAGTTTCTTATTAATTTGTCATTGAATTTTTCCAGATATGAATGAAACTTTATTTTTATTGATATCAGAACTTGTTTTGAATCCAGTGTTAGTTCAACCTCGTTTCATTATAGAAAAAGCTATGTTGGTAGCTTTGTTGCATGCTAATATTGGTTCAGAAGTTGGTAAGTTAATTTGATAAATACATTATTCATATGACAGCTCACTGTTATAATATACTGAATTTTTCTTTGTTATTTATATTTGTTGAGAATGAAGAACATTTTAAGTAATGAAATAGCTATTCAGTATTAGTTGATCTTAAAATTTTTTATGTTATAGTTAACTTGTGTAAGCATGAACTTGTAATCTGTAATTAATTTGTAATGCATACTTGTATAAATATTATTTTTATGGTAGTAGTAATTTTTATTCATTAAACTGGCACTGAATTAGGGTATAGATAGCATTATGTAAACATTGTAGCACTGCTGCCTTATTTTCTGCATGTGTCAAGATGATGCTGTGTGTGTGTGGGTTCGTAATAGATTCAATGCACACAGTTCCGATGAACAGGTTAATAAAATTTATTTTATCAACAGAAACACTTCAAAGTTCTGGAATTTTCTGAAGAAGTACTCAAGCAAATGTTCACAGTATCACAAAGTACAATCCGTAGTTACACTTCAAACTACTAAGAACATTAAACACAGCCTGGCAATATCTTGCCAAATTACCAAGATACCCATTTACTCAATGTTAAAGGGTGTTGCCCCTGTATTCTTACTTTTCTGGCATAGCTTTTCTCTTTCAGATTTCTCTTGTGTTACATTACAGAGAAAAATAAAACAATTTCACATATAGTTGCACTAAAATCATCTATCTATATACCAATTCATAACAATATATATATGTGTAGATGGACTGTCTTAGATTTTACATCAAAGTTGAAACAAAAACAGCTCGATAAAATAGCATAAAAGTAATAATATAACAAGTAGTTGAAATTCTTCGGTCATTTTCAAGGAACAGCTAATTTTTTTTTTAAAATTTTATTAAATCCAGATGCTATAATATTCTTGATTCTTTCATTAAATATTTATATGGAATGGTTTACATATTTTTTGAATGATTTTGGGGCCATTTAGTTAATGCTTAACATGTAAAGAATATTTTAAAAAATATTCCATCTGATAGCCTTTGTTAAGTTAGAATACATTACCACCTATTGTAGAGAAAAAGAAACTCTTACTTGGTCACTGGCTTCAGCTAAAGCAATATGTAGTAGTATTGCATGTAGTAATTAGCATTAATAAAATTGTTAGTGTTCTTTTTTATACAGGTCCACTCGTTTAATTTAGAATTATAGAGACATATTGCACTGGCCCTTAGAGCTGGAGTAGAGAACAAATTGTTGGCATTGGATAGAAGTGAAACAGCATTAAAAGCGGAATTAACTAGATTAGAAAACATAGTTAAGGAATATAATGATAATGTAAACAAAAACAAAATTCAAATAAAGTATAGATTGCTTCAAAGTATTCAAATGGACATTAGAAACTTAAGAAATAGCTACTTCAAAAATGTTGATGAAAAAGGAGATGTCACAGCCATTGATGAAGAAATCACCAAAGTAAAAGAAAGAATAGAAGTTTTGAGGGTAAGAAATATGGAAATTCTTCATCTGCTGTGTATTCTGACCATGAAAATGATTGTACTAAATCTGGTTCTAAAGTATAAATATATTCTAAAGTATAAAGTATAAATTCTGAAGTATAAATATATAGTTACTTAATCCTATATTTTCTGATAAATCTACCAAATATAATAATTTTAAGTTGCATTTCAAAAACCTTATTGTGAATAATACTCAGCTAACAGAAGTTTAGAAGTTCTATTGTTTAAAGGCTGCATTAATTGATGAAGGAAAAATAAAATTGAAACTGTTGATGATAATTTCAGTTCTGTATTTTAAGGACTGAATTTAACTTTTGAATCATCGAAGGGGATATGTAATAGAAAATATTACTAAAAACATAAGGCTTTGAATGTTTTAAAGTACAAGAAAAAGAATTTATCAGGCATTCTATTATTAGATACTGTCCTTCAGAAGCTAGATTATGAAATGTATACACAATGTGAACTAAGCGTTGATGCTACTGAAGTTCCTATGTTTGAATTAATTTCAGTTTTGGTGAAAAGATTTCAATTATTAGCAAATACTGGTAAAGTGAAATGTTCAAAACCAAAGATGATAGTTAAGATCGATAGTTCTCTGACTTGTGTCATATGTAAAAATAATTATCTACAATATAAATGTCATTTTAAAATTAAATGAAAATTAAAGATATGAAATAGTTAAAAACAATAAATTGTGTTTAAACTGTTTTAGTGAGGAACATTTAATCTCAAAACATAACTCTAAGTTCAGATGTTCCAAATGCCTAAAAAAATATCATTCATTAATCCATCCCCTAGTCAGCAATAGCATCATCGGTCAACATTAGACAAAACAAAAACATCAAGTGACAAGATTATAAACAAAAATGCAGATGGTTCTCATAAAAATTAATCACGTTGTCTTTTGATACAGAGAAAAAAATGTGTTATTAATGACTGCAATAGTATATGTTTGTAATTCAGAAAGCAAAAGAATTTCAATTCAAGTCATTCTTGATAACAGCAGCATGTCTTGTTTTCTAACAGAAGGAGTTGCCAATTTGTTAAATATAAAGAAAGATAGAATTTACCCACCTGTATCCGGAAAAAAAATGAGAACATTACAAACGTTAATTATCAACTAGATGTACAGGTTTTGAATAAGGATTTAACAGGTATAAGATCAATTAACTCTTTGATTATTTCTAAAATTACCAATATAACCCCATCAAGAAGTTTAGAGATGTTGCCATTAAATGTTCGCATTGACATTCAATTAGCTGATTCGCAGCATGAACTCCTAACAGAATAGACATGCTACTGGGGACCGAATTGTTCTTTGAGATAATAAAATAAGGAAAATTTCAATTAGAAAATCAACTGTTGATATTGCAAGAAATAGTTTTTTGATATATCACGTCAATACATGCAAGAGTAACTCAGAAGTAAATTATTGTGGCTTAGTTCTGAATAGTAAAAAAGGAGTCTGTGAAAATTTTGCAAAGATTTTGGGAAGTTGAATCCATTGAAAATGTCAAGGATGTTATGAGTGAAGAAGAAAATAGTGGGGAGAACATTTCAAGTGTACTCACTATCAGCAAAATGATCGAAGATATATAATTCAGTTTCCCACTGGGGAAAGTGTGGAATAGGAGAATAAAAAATGCTTGCTGAGGAAAGATTACATCAAGTGTGGAATCGACTAGAAAGCGATTTGATTATGAAATCATCATAGGAGAATTATATCAAGGAATATACGGATTTTAAATCACACGGAGGAAGTTCAAGAAATTGAATCGTCGACCTGCAGTTATCTCAGTCATCATGAAGTTTATCTCCTGGAGAAAACCTCTATTAAGCTGTGCTCAGTATGTAATGAATCAGAGGCAACTACTAATGGAAAATCACTTAATATAGTATTAATGAAAGGATGAATACAGGCAAAATGTTTTTTTGTATTATTATTAGATTTCAAAAATACAACTTTGCACTAGGAGCTGATGTTTAGAAGATGCGTAGGTAAATACTTATTGACCATCTCAAAGAAACTTGCAGTTGATCTTAAGGATAGAATCAGTTGTTAGCCCTGTGCACACTTAATTGTTTGAAGACTGTAACCTATGAAGCAGCGAGTGCACTGTTTCTTGCAACAAGAGTCCTGAAGCAATTAGCAGTGGACAAAGTGACCGAACTTCCTTGTAACGTATTGAAGGACTGTTATGTAGATGACGTTATCACTGGAGCTAATAGACTGCAGAAAGTGAAGGAGTTTCAGGCTCAGTTAATCTGTCTTCTAGAATATGGTGGAATGCAGTTACACAAATGGTGTTCAAATAATACTGAAGTACTGAAGAATAGAGAAAGTGCAACTCATAATTATTTTTTGCAAGTTACTAATAAGACTGAGGTTACAAGGACGTTGGGAATGTCGTGAAGTATGGCTACAATTAGTTTTTCTTATAATTTAAAGCGTACCTGTCATTGATGAAACAGTAATGATATAAGGTATTTCTCCTGCTTTCCTAGCATGCCTTCATGGTGTAGTGGTCTGCACGCTGGGCCGGTATTCCAGAGGTCCGTGGTTCGATTCCTGGCAAAGGCATTTGCTCATTTTTCATCTTGCCTGATTCCAAAATTATCTAATGTCATTACAGTGGCACCTGAACTAAAAGGGTTTTGGATGAGGATTCTCCACACCCAGGATTTGGTGATTGGGCCCCCTAAAAACCCCAGTTACCCTTTAAAAATGGGAGTATATAAGGTATTTCTCCTGCTTTCCTAGCGTGCCTTCATGGTGTACTGGTCTGCATGCAGGGCCGGTATTCTATAGGTCCATGGTTCGATTCCCGGCAAAAGCGTTTGCTCATTTTTCATCTTGCCTGATTCCAAAAATACCTAATGTCTCTATAATGAAAGGAGATGTTTTATCAGGAATAGGTCACCTCTTTGATCCATTAGATTTAATTCGAACTGTTATGGCAAAGACTAAAATATTTCTGCAAAAACTTTGGCTCTTAAAAATAAATTGTAGCCAACCTCTTCCTAAAAAAAGACTTTTTGGAAGAATGGAATGCATTTCTGTATAGTCTTAGAACAGACAACGTTTATCGTATCCCTAGATTTGCTCTAACCAACAGAGTACAGCAAACAGAAATAATAGGATTCTGGGATGCTTGTCAGAAAGCCTATACAGTACCGATTCCAGATGAGGACTTTTTCTGGATATTAGATCATCAGTTTAAATATAGTAAGATGGCATGTAGAAATTATAAAATTAAAAATATGAAATCGTCATTTATGGAATAATGAAGTATTTATAATATAAAGCGTATCAAAATTAGAAAAAAAAAGCTTAATATTTATTTGTTTAACTTATTAAACATTTCTTTCAATGTAAGTTGCTTTTTTTTTTTTTTTTTTTTTTTTGTGCTAATACTTTTTCTTTAATTCTATAAACAGACATAATCTCATCTTTAGTTACATTGTTCAAGTCCTGTAACTGCTGTTTTGAGTATTCCGACTAACT